ATAGTTTTATACTTATCTGGCGTTTCCCGTGGAAAAAAATATAAACATTTCGTTAGGTAGCCCTTCATATCTCACTCATTCATGTGCAGGCTGAACAAAGCTAGGCTGAGCTAGTCAGGGTTTTGTAACAATGAATATTCACGGATCCCAATGTAGGCGCATCTGAGTTCATAGGAGGCCGTTTCTTTTTAGAAAATCGGCATGATGTCTGCCAACGTTTGTGACCGTTATAGTGAGTTGTTCGAAATATATGATTTAAATCTGTCCTATCGCATAAGAAGATTTTTTGAATCTGTTATCCCTTATTTCTGTTATGATTCACTTCTTTATCCATAATAAATATCCTTCTCCTCTTCCTTTGGGAGTCCTTGTAGCTCAGTTATGCTCATTTTTGTAGTAAATGCGCAGCAACCGAACATGATTTTTTAGCCACATAAACAAAAGCGATAGCAAGCTTCACTTTTTCAGTTTATTTTAATTATTTTAGCCCGTTTTTGGGCTTTTATTATGTAATCACGGACATTGCTATTCCAAAACAATACCGGTAAATTTTTATGGCCTTCGTGGTAGGGGTACTGTCACCTATCTCATCAGTAAAAACATGCTATAACTTAGCTAAAACATTGCATCCTATCGGTTGAATATAACACCTGTAATTGTTCAGCCTAAATTTTATTGAATTGCCTTGCATCCAATTAACTCTCTGAATATCCGAACGAGGAGACAACAATTGCAGACTCTAAAATATGCTGCTTTTTGGCAATTAACAGTGAAACGTCAACAGAGTTGTTTCGTGTTTTGCAGGCAGTTTTGTATTCTCTCCTTTGGTTACATACCATAAGATATTGACATTTTAGGTACGATTTTCCTGTTTTACCTGGGGACTTCCCATCCCTAAAGGACGGATTTAGCTGTCGGGGCATATTTTTTTCAGTAACTTGAGGGAAAACATATATTGGGGCAATTGTAAATCCATCTCATTTTGCATATCACTGAGGTCGCCATGACCTTAGCCTATTTGCCTCTTCCTTCGTCGGAGCACACTGCAAACATCCTGCTTTTTATGGTGACACGTCCATGTTGGCAAAAACTCGACAATTCTTCTTGCACCTTCACCAAACCACGGGCATACTGTTGGATTTCGATATGTTCCGAGCATCTGCTGCTATCGCTCAAGAGGGTGCCATTTCCTACCGCCGTATGAACTGCTTAAGCCACCTCAATCTACTTGCTTAGCGATCCTTGTTCTAAAGTATTCTCAAATATATAGGACATTTGAGAGCAAACATATCGTTTAAAGCTATCCAAATACAACGTTTTTATTTTCTCTTCCGAATACATTTACTGCTGATCTGTTTGGTGCACGTATACAGTAGATGTGCTGCCGCGTTGAATGTTAGCCAATATTCGGAGAAGATTACTTAAGGAGGATTATACGATTGATTATCGTGCGACATAATGCAAAAATATTGCGGACTCTTGAATGACATTTTTTTCCGGCCGCCTACAAAAGACGACCGCTTATATAGCATACATTTTTAGTTTTTTAGATGCCATTATAAAATTAAATATATTTCCTAGAAAAAAACGTAACTATTTTCATACTCACTTGGTAGAAACTTATATCTTTCACATTTTATACTCGGAAAAGTGTATGTTTAAGTTTTCGTTTGCCGCATAATTTTTCATCTGATCTGCCTCTCGGGGTTTTTAAACTACATTTTGCATAAATGCCGGTTAAACAAAATCTTAATTTTTCTACTTTATGACGAAAAAAGTCAAATAGAGCTCACAAAAGTTTGTAATGAATGTGAAGCACTTTTGTAATTTATAACCAAAATTTCTAAACGGAAGGATATTGTAAATTATGAATTGCCATTTCGCAATCTTAAAAATCGAATGATTAGGAACCTTTTAAAGCCGAAATATATTATTTCTTTAACTATAGAATTGGAAGGAGATGTAATTTGTTACCAAGTTAGTACCAGGAAAAACAGTTTTTTAGCCTGTTCTCTATAAAAGGTATTTGCACTTACAAGGGCGTCGAACATCAGTGAGAAAAATACATGCTGCTTGTATAGCCGTTTTTTATAAGGTAGATGTTTTGCAGGCAGCCTGAGAAAACCTCGCTAAATGTTGGAATCCTGAGATGACTGAAATACCTCCCATATAGTGTTGCTTCAAATCAAAAAAATGTTTTAATGTCAGTTAAATTTTCATGAAATAGCAAATATGCTGTGAATCCTCAATATCTACGCTACTAATCTGACTAGAGTGATGATAACTGCCTCTACTTATCTTTTCATATTCCTCACCTCTTGCTTATAGGCCAAAATAAACACGAATGTCTTAATTGATCCTGTTACCTGGTCTGATGAGAATTTCTTGAACGTAAACGTCTACTCGCCAGATAGCATTATGAAACGGATTATATTACTTTCGGTTTGCAGGCGTTTAAGGCTTTTTGTTTTTTCCTTTCAATATATAGATCCAAATGACCTGAAATCTATGAAAAATGGGTCTCTGGAGCTTCCAGCCAAGGTTGAAAATTTCAAGGCTTGGAGTTCGACCGCGCTGAAATGCACAAAACAGGTGATTGAAGAAAAGCTGGGCACAACCACGCCTACCCGCGATCCCGAAATCGAAGCCAAAGTTGGCGTTTTGAAGTAAGTTATGCAGCAGTTGTATTATCTCAATGCTATGATAAGTCTAAGACGTAAACCGCAGTTAACACGACATCCTAGCCACGTGGATTAGTCCCGTCAATCAGTGTACTAGAATAGGATGCTGGCATGACGTGGGCGTATTCAGCACGCACAGCTTTCCTAAACTCAACCTTTTAGGAACTCACCTTCATGATGACCTTGCGGTTTTTGGACTGCAAAATTTTTTTCACACATGTGAAAGACCACACCCCTTTTGCGTTTGTTGAGTGTGAACAGTGAAAACTGGGCTGCATTACTGTCTCGCCGCTGAGTTCGTTGGGCCGTTAATTCGGCGTGACGAGCTGGTGCTTTTTGTTATTCCATTAACTCCACGTGGTCTACTTTTGTGACACTAGACTGTTCCCAAGTTTTATCCTAAAGAGGCCCATCAAATCTGCGCTGAATGTTAGGATGGACCCTTTCATTGAAAAAATGTCTAAATCGTATGTCTCTCATGTGCATTTCGATTTTTTTCCAAGCTATACTGACGACATCTGCACAAATACGGCCTTTTAGGAGCATGTGATTTGATGTTTTGGCTCTTAGAAACGACTCCTTTTATGCTGACCTCCAAGGTGATTCTAAAAATTATTTAAGAATGGTTTTCAATAGGCCATTGTAATGGTATTATGGAATGCGGTTGAGTACTCTTGCCTCTTTACTTTTAATGGCAATTTGGCTTGAAACAGCCTTTCCAGCTCCATGCATGTTTCACTTACACCTTTCGCATCCGCTATAGTGTCAGTACTTACTCGAAAACGCAACACCCGAACAAAATTTACTCAGCTGCTAATTGGCTTCCGTCTTACGGTTTTGTCTGATTGGGTGGTTTTGACACCCCTCCCCTCCTTAAATAAAGTCGTGTTCCTCTTTTCGTCGATTGTCCGAATTCTCCTATTTCCCCTCAGCCACTGCGAAATAGCGCCCTTTCGAAGCCCTAATGCGGGTGATTTAACATCCCACAGATACGTCCCATACTGTTTCACTTGTCACCGACATCCTCGGACAGTTTAAAGTTTTTACAATGCTATTTCGTGCGTAATGTTTACAAACGCCCATCTCCATTACCATTTAAAAGTTTGTGTTGCGGTCTGTGAGGTTGTATTCTTGTTTCAATAGGTATGAGGGTGCCCAGTTAAAATTACTAGTTTCGACTGGTAACGGTGTCTTACTGGATTTGTGACGCGCTCCGTGCTTCATAATAAGTTGCGTTCTTTTCTTTCGTTCTTCTCCTTCTGACAACTCAATCAAACCGTCACATAGATCTAAGACAGAAAATTGACGACTAGAGTTGTAATGCGGTGGGAATATTACAAGAGTAGACACTGTAAAAACAAACAAAAAAGTGTCAAAGCTTGGTTACCTGACAGAGCATGCTGTAATATCGCTGTGAAGGCGAGACAACTGTCAGTGTCTGCAGATTTCAAAGATGGCTATTTAGGCCTGGACTGCAGTTTGTCCTTTCCGATCCTCAACGGCTACTTCTCCTGATTCGCGTTAGATTCAGAGGCC